CTAATGGAAGTGAGACCAACATGTATCTGCATTTTACTAAATATATAAAGTGAGACGAAAAATTATGACTGAATGTATGTGCATTTTGACAGATTATGCATGTGTAGTGAGACAAACAAATGAGACCAACAAATATGACTGAATGTATGATTGAAAATGTGCATGCACAGTGATACCAACAAATATTCCACTGATTTCTAACAGATATGTATACATATATTCCAATGTGCTTGTACAGTACTAGAGCATAATTGAATTTTGACAGAACACATATATGAAGTGAACTTTAGCACTGAATTCTGGCTGGTACAACAGTAATTTTGCACAAGCATGTATGAATATTACACACATAGATTATAACTGAACCTTTGCCAATACAGCAGCACTTTTCACAAACAGCAACATAGATCTAACTGAACTCTTGCACCTAGAGCAACATGATAAATTCTGAAGATGAACAGTATAGACGATGCTCTCTGTTTCTTCATCATTGTCGTCTTCATTGGAACAACCATACGTCGGCGCCGCCACCTCATCAAGCCGCCGTTTCGGGGCACCCATCGGCTGATGCAGCCGCGAGCCCCTTCTTTTCTCTGCCGTGCCTGGAGAGCTCACATGTTGGACCTGTCGGCGATCATCAGGCTGCCGCCATTGTCCCGGGGTCGATAGCTTAAGTTTCACGATATGATCAAGTGGAAGCGGATGAGTCACAGAATCAGGATCTTGGCGGGTCGGAAAACACCACTTCCTCGCATCGGTTGCCCGCGATCAACTGCGTACACTGACATGGTGGAGGCAACGTACGCAAAAGCGTATACGTATCCCATGACCGGTTCCACGAGTTCAAGGATCGTATTGACTTTGTATTCGCAAGTTTAATGACTATATGGGATCAGTTTCAGAGTTTAAGGACCGTTTTGGACCTTGCCACCAACTTCAAAAATGGTTCATGCATTTTACTTTTGACTTAAGACAAAAGCTAGATATACATTTACTCACGGATCGGAGGAAGCATGCGTTATTAGCTCTAGTCCGTGTCGCAAGGAGTAATATATGCAGCCCAAGTCCCATGCGGAGTGGAGTAGCTAGCTGGTGTTTGTTCTCGGTGCGGAAAAGGTCGTTAATTTCGCCCGTTCCTATCTGGGAAACGATTCTGGGGTTGACAGCCGGCCGAAACTTCCGCTGGGCACGCGCCACGTTGGTCTCGCGCGGCCACGCAGACCACCCCGCGCGATTTGTATAAATAAGAAAAGATCGGGCTGGGCCCAGGCCGTGCCTCGCATTATGTATGTCATAACAGGTTTCTTGATTTCTTTTCGTTGTTTCTACATGTGCGTCTTTTCAGCGAAATTACTAATTGAGAAATACTTATGGTAAAGATCACCCCTTCTCAGGTTGTAATAAGTGGCGCGTTGCATGTGCGTTACTTGCCGTAACCTTTTTTCATATATCCGTTTATTCAAAATATTTTTATCTTTTAAAATGTACGTTCAAATTTCGAACCGTTTTCACTGTTAGATTTTTTGCATGGAGATCTTCAAAATTAAATTTCATATTGATAGGTTTTAACAAAAAAAATTCAGAAAGAAAATCGGACGAAAAAATGGAAAACCGGGAGCACGGTTTTTTTCCAAAGGCACGGCCGTGCCTCTCACGAAATCACAACTATGCCTCTCATGGAAACAAAACCGTGCCTCTCGCAGAAGAAAAAAACAAAACACATTTTTTTCCTTTCCGAAAAAGGCACGGCCATACCTCTCGCGAAATCACAACCGCGCCTCTCGTGGAAGAAGAAAAAACAGAAAACACGTTTTTTGTTTCCGAGAGGCATGGCCGTGCCTCTTGTAAAAGCACAATCGTACCTCTTGCGGAAGCAAAACCGTGCCTCTCGCGAAAGAGAAAAACATAAAACATGTTTTATTTTTTTCGTTTCCGAAAGGCACGGTCGCGAAAGTAAATCCGCGCTTCTCACGGAAGCAAAACCATGCCTCTAGTGGAAGAAAAAACAACAGAAAACATGTTTTTTTTCATTTCCGAGAGGCACGGTCACGCCTCTCGCATAAACAAAACCGTGCCTCTCGAGGGAAACAATATTTTTCCGCGCAAATTTTTTGGCCTAAAAGTTAAGGAAACCGGTGAAAAACAAAAACGTCAAAAAAAACACCAAAAACTTCTTAAAAAGCCAAAAACGCGTGCGAAAAACTAATAAAAATCAAAATACAAAGGGAGTGCCAACAGCGCGACGCGTGGCGGGGTGGCTAAGAGCACGCCTCGTTGCGAAGCTTCCAAAGGAGCGCTCGTCAACTAGTTGCTCCTCTTTTCAGCTCAAAAATAAATAAATAAATACAAGTGCGCCTTTTGCCGGGTATTTTCGGAAAAAGTATTATTTTTTATTCTTTTTTCATTTCATTTGTTAATTCAAGATATTTAAAATGCACATACATTTTATTAAAGTTTTAATATTTTTAAAAATTCATGAAGAGTTTTTTAATTCATGGATATTTAAATAATCAGAGTTTTTAATTTATTTTTTAAATATATAGTTTTACATTTTAAAAATCTCCCCAATCGCTCTGACACAAATTTATTTTAGCAGGTGTCCTCTGAGTGAAGGGCCGTGTTTTTCTTTTCCGGAGCGAGCGTTGAATATTCTAGCCCAAACTTCGCCTACAAATACACGGGCCAGACTGAATCATGCGAGAGTACCCCAGATCGGGTTTTTGGAAATGAACCTTGTGAATGAATAGTGTGGAGCAATTTCTTGGATTTCTTGGAATTGAACGATGTGAATATAATTCGACTTTTCCAGGCGGCGGAGTACGAGGGCGTCACACCTACATTTTTCTTCTCGTCTCCAATGCTCTTGGGTTTTAGTCGATTTTAGAAGATGAATCTCGTCTGAACCTCTTGATTGGTTTTGTGTGAAAAATGGGATATACCGGAGATGCATGTTTTCAGGGTCAAAATCGATTTCGAAGGATGACACTCATCTCATCTTGATTGAAATTCCACCTCCTCCCCCAAAAAAAACTAAATGTTATCATTTTGGTGCATAGCCGAATTTGTGGTCATCCTATTCGCATCGCGAATGTCTGAGCATCTAGTCTGGTCGTATGAGATGGTTTCTCAGCTTCCTATCCGCTGATATTTTTTAACAATCAACGGGGGATAGAGTCCCCACCTAAATGCATTACTTAAAGCGTTATCACACAAAAAAATGTTAAAAGAGAGTGCTATAGCGCGATGCAAGTATTATCGCCATAACGTTATCCTTTTGCATAGGCCTTAAAGCATCTCTATCTAAACTCCTAAAGGCTATAACTCCTCAAGAGCTTCCCTTTTGAGGAGTTAAGCACCACCTAGGTGAACTCTTGAAATCTTTAATGTATCAAAAAAATTGGGGAGAAACGAGGGTGACCTTACAATTTTGAGAGAGCGAACACAAGTCTCACCAAAAGATTTGCTCTCACGCACGCGACCGCCTCTCAATGTTGCTCAGCCATTTGCATGCCAGAGTAGTATGGACTCGACTAGATCGACTCGACTCATGACAATTAACTTGTTCGTTCCTCTGGAGCTGCCCTCGCCGTGTTCCTTGCCTACGACGACCACCCCGATGGCTGGCTGACACCTCATAGCTCCGCCAACCTTTGTCTGAAAAATTTCAGTTAGATCCTAGCAAGAATGTGATGATTTTTTCCTTCATTTCTTCGCCTTTTGTCGTATCTTGCCATGGCGGTGCTCCTCCTCATCGTCCCTAACCCGTTGGCATTCCTCAATGTAGACTGGACCACGAGCAAAGCTACATCACAGGGGAACAATTACAAAATGCAAAATTTATGAAGAACTTACCCTAAAAAGTGGTCGCCGGTTCGTTTGAAGAAGAAGAAGAAGAAGAAGAAGAAGAAGAAGAAGAAGAAGAAGAGGGAGAGGGGCTTTCATATGAGGTCTGGTTCGTTTGAGGAGTTAAGTTTGGGAGTTCGGTTAGGTTTGCATTCTTTTAACTCCTCAAATTTGATGTGTTAAAGTTTGAGGATGTGTTTGAGGAGTTAAATTTTATGAGTTCAGCTAGGGAGGCACTTAAAACATCCTTGCCTCTTGTGGCCCTAAGGGCATGAAGGCGCGATGGATCCCTGTCCTTGCCTGTGGGAGGGCTCCTATTCTGTATTTACGTGTTCTTTTGAGTTTGTTTAGGGTTTATGTCCTGCTCAGGAAGGGGAGGCGATGTCGGCTCCCTTAAGATGAAACAAGGTTCTCGCTGCCTAGTTCCTGTTCTGGTGGTGCGTCTAGTGTCGTCGATGGGTGTGGACGTGTGTCTTCGGCGGATCTTGCGAGATTTGATCGATGTTTTTCTTCAGTGGATCTATATGGATTCGGTATTTGTTCGTCTACATTTGTGTGTCTACAGGTTGGATCCTTCTGATCTATGCTTCTCTTTATCAGCGATGGTTGCTATTCTGCTTCATTGGTCCTTTGGGGTCTTAGCATGACAAATTCCTGACTATCTACTACAGTAAGGTTTGTCTGGCTTTGGTGAGGGAGGGGCAATGATGACGGCATGCCTTCGGCTCGTCACTAGGTGGTCTATGAACCTAAATGTAATTTATGTTGCTTTTAGTGTTCTTGTACTACCATGTTGTTTGATGAATAGATCTTAAGTTCTTTCTGAAAACAAACATTTGTTAGGGGAGGATGGTGACTTAGTCGTACTGTTTTGCATCCCATCTTTGTTGGTCCTTTAGTGTAGCCGGCTCATAAAATTGTTTGGGCCTTGCCTTACATATTTAGAGGCTGGGAGGAGATAATATTTTTTTGACAAGAAAAAAACACAATACAGATTGGGACACAAGCACTAGAACACATGTGGGCAGAACCAAACGGAACAACACATGTTTCACCGTAGAATCATAAACCGAATCGGCAGCCCAAACCAGCCAAACCACACACACCTACGCGGACGTGCCAACACAGGGAGAGGACGCCGGCCGTCCTGGCGGTAGCTAATCCACGAAGGCGTACTGCTCGTACCGCACGCTGCAATCCACGAGCACGGCCCTCGCGCCGACGGCGTGGCCGCAGGTGGCGTTCATCTGGCTGACGGCGGAGCCGAGGCAGCTCGCGCAGTCCGCGCCCGACAGGCCGGCGCGGCACGCGGCGTGGCCGTAGGCGAACGCGTTCGGGTACGGGGATATGCTGTAGGCGTCGCGGGCGCGGGACTGCGGCGTGGCGGCCAGCAGGTCGGCCAGCACGTAGGCGAGGCTCTCGGCGAAGGGGTCGCCGGCGCCGTACACCGCGCCGTTGCAGAGCACGGAGAGCGGTGCCGTGTTGGGCGCGCCGCTGGCGGTGTGCGGGCAGGAGGAGAGGAGGTGCAGCAGCGCGAGGGGGAGGAAGAGGAGCCGGTGGGCTCTGGGTGAGGACGCCATGGCGCCTCCGATCTTGGGCAACGGGTGTAGTAGGGGTGTGTGGTTGTTGCCTTGTTGGTGGCGTTGTGAGCTTTGGAAACAACGCTATCTATGAGTGGGAAGATAGGACGGACAGGCTGAGGCCGGCCGGCCGATGGTCGTTTTCGCGGAGACTGCTCGTCCGCTTGTTTGTATGCTTGTCTGCTTGCACGACACTACCAAAAACTAGAATTTTCCTGTGAGCCAAAAACCGACAGGAAAATAGGGTATACCGACAGGAATAGTATTTCCTGTCGGCCGGCCGTCAGGTTTAGCCGTCAGCCATAGCTTGACAGGGAAAATAAGATATGCCTGTCAGCCAGCCGACAGGGACATTATTCCTGTCGGTTTTCCTTATTTTCCTGTCAGTTTTGGCACGACAGGGATATGTAAGTGTCAGGTTTGGCAAACCAGGGAAATTGTATATCCCTGTCATATGTAACCGTCAGGAAAAAATAGAAACCAATCAAAAAAAATTAATAAATTTAAACCTAGCTTTTCCATTATTCAAAATACTTATAACATAGAAGCACCAATATCAATAGCTTACATGAACATAAGAGTTACAAAGTCACACATCATACAATTCCATACAATTTACAGGAACCAAAGGTCAACGAAAACAGAGGTGCAACATCTAACAACACACAAGTGCATCAACTAAATACTCACAACGTGAGACCTCATTTTCTATAATGTTTTGTTGTAGCTTACGTTGCAAGCTTCTCTTCAAGGTTACCCTGCAGTGGATATAATTGAACTTGAAAAAATGTGACAAGAAATAGGAACAATATTTATAAGATAAAATTAGCATAATCTATTTGATATCTCAGTTTCTCGCAATAACATTGGCATATATATCCCACCTGTTTTTGGCAGATCAAAGTTACCGAATTTTACAGGACAAAACAACGGAGTTATTTGTTCTAGCATCATATCTCAGACTTGATACAGACCATGCAACTGACAAAATCCATTAAATGACAACCTGAGTTTCTCGATTAGTTGGAAAAAACTATCAGCTAACAGCCTGAGTAGATAAGTTATTAGGGGCTTCTTGCAAGTATTGTATAATGACAGGGAGTTAAGTATATCCATTTCAGATTTCCAAAAAAAGGGCAGATTCATCATTTCCTCCATAATAATAAAAAACAAAGCATTATGCAATTATTTGATAATGTAACAACAGGGAACGACATCTCTTCATTCAGAAGAATATGTAGAATTTCTTGCCTTGATTGATAACCTCAACTTCTTCTTGCAACCTCTCCTTGTTGTACAGATAATCTACCTTGTACTTGCCATGCAGCTGCTCATTGCTTCCTAAATCATACATAATGAAGTATGAAACCAAATGGCATGGACAAACAAAACATGAGAACACATGTTTACAATATTGCATAGTGACTAGTGAGACAATAAAAGACCACAAAGAAATAGAAAGAGGCTAGTGGCTAGTGGCTAGTGGCGAAGCTACAAACAGATGGCTGTCGGGTTAACAAAAAATTATTCACTGGGTGCAATTTAACACTCAGATTTCTGCCATGCTAACAAGTGCCAACAACGATTCTTGACTACATACAAATCAAGCCATAGGAATTGGTAAGATGAATAGAAGCTACCACAATAGAAATTCAGAGATAGGGAGATCAAAAAAATTACCTGTGTTGTCTTGCAGATTCTTCTCCCCTCATGCAGTAATATTCACATCATGCAAACCTCTCCTGAAAATAAAGATATCTTTATCAACTAATCTGAGTGCTGGATACAAATTAGCAGCACTGCTAACAAATCAAGGAGTGGCAGAGACTTAACCTCCGCTACTAGCTGCGTTGATCGGTGTAACGAAAAGGTATGGAAAAACAAAACTAGAGAACACATTTTTACGGTTCTGCATAGTGAAACAATAAAAGATACCACAGATATAGAAAAAGGACATGTTCAGACTACGATGTGAGCGATGCATGTGATGTGCCATGTGCCTACGTATTAGGGCAACTCCAACGCTCAAACGGAACCGGATTTAATCTGTTTTTTGTTCATTTGGATCGGGCCGTAACGCGGAGTCTGGCTTCATCTGCGTTTTGCTAACCGGTTCGCTCAACTAGCCGACGCATTTTGTCCGTGATCTGTATGCCATATTTGAAAATTATTTTTGCATATAAATCTTGACATTGCCAAAAGTTTAAATCAAATAAATTTTACATCGCAATAATAAATATTTTACAATCGAATAAAAATCTCATAGCTTTCAAACCAAATAAAATTTAAACTTTCACAAATAAATTCAAAGAGAAAGAGCAATACATCTGTTGGTTGCAAGGCTCTTGCCATAACCCATACCTTATCAAACTACTCACACATGGATATCATGAAGGTAGATTAATTGATAATATGCCTTACAATGGATGTCGTGTGTTATACATGATTACAAGTATGACTAGAGGATGATGAACTATGGTAAAGATGGAGATGGTGGCTATGGAGATAGAAAATGGCGGCGGTTAGGGTTGATGAAGATGGGATGAAGATGACTCTGTTCTGTGGCTCCTCTCATGGTTGTTCTGTTAACATTTCGGTCTCGACCCCTTTATAAAATTTGTTCAGGTGGGCGAGAGGCATCGGTTTCCATGCCATACGGCTCATGCAAGTGGTCGCGGTCGCATGATACACCGTCTTTTACTCTCTTTCTTCTGGTTGCGCCTCCACTTGATTTCTTCTATCTCCTGCTTTACTCTCATGTCGTGACTTGATTTCATCTTTAAACAACCCATTTCATGTGGAAACAAAATAAAAAAGGATTTTTTGGAATCTTATGCATTCATTAGTCATTAGTGGCAATATCAGAGCGAATATCTCGGTTTTAATGAAATATATCAATTTAAACTAAGAGTAGAGGAGTGTAAAATGACACTCATCATTGTCCATGGTGGCGGTAAAGTATACAACCTCTGCAGAGTGTAAAAATCTATTTGAATAGCCGAGCCCCCGATAGTGGGCACCGTTCGTATTAAGTCACACTATTTGATCATATCCATGAATAAAGGAAACTAAGAGGGAAGAGTTGGAATGGTTAATGCTAGAAAGAGCTGACTTGATCACGAGGTGGTCATGAGAAGTAAACCGGACGATCGCGGATCATGCCAGGAGATGGTCCATGGGACCTTAAACGAACAAGCCATGTTTACTTCATTATAGTTGATTTGTTTTACTTACTATATATCTATTACTTTAACCTGTTTCATGTTGAACTGTCATGTTCTTGCTTGCTTTCTTGCTTCTGGACCATTTGTGAGTTTTTGAGTACATTCAAAGTACTAACATGGCTTATCATGCCAGATGCTGGAGATGCCGTAGCTGGATACCTCGAGGATCACGAGTACGCGAACTAGGATGTGTTGGAAATATGCCCTAGAGGCAATAATAAAAGCATTATTATTATATTTCCTTGTTCATGATAATTGTCTTTATTCATGCTATAATTGTGTTATCCGGAAATCGTAATGCATGTGTGAATAACAGACACCAACATGTCCCTAGTGAAGCCTCTAGTTGACTAGCTCGTTGATCAACAGATAGTCATGGTTTCCTGACTATGGACACTGGATGTCATTGATAACGAGATCACATCATTTGGAGAATGATGTGATGGACGAGACCCAATCCTAAACATAGCACAAGATCGTATAGTTCGTTTGCTAGAGTTTTGCAATGTCAAAGTATCTTTTCCTTAGACCATGAGATCGTGTAACTCCCGGATACCGTAGGAGTGCTTTGGGTATGCCAAACGTCACAACGTAACTGGGTGACTATAAAGGTAGACTACGGGTATCTCCGAAAGTGTCTGTTGGGTGACATGGATCAAGACTGGGATTTGTCACTCCGTATGACGGAGAGGTATCACTGGGCCCACTCGGTAATGCATCATCATAATGAGCTCAGAGTGACCAAGTGTCTGGTCACGGGATCATGCATTACGGTACGAGTAAAGTGACTTGCCGGTAACGAGATTGAACGAGGTATTGGGATACCGACGATCGAATCTCGGGCAAGTAACATATCGATAGACAAAGGGAATAGTGTACGGGGTTGATTGAATCCTCGACATCGTGGTTCATCCGATGAGATCATCGTGGAGCATGTGGGAGCCAACATGGGTATCCAGATCCCGCTGTTGGTTATTGACCGGAGAGTCGTCTCGGTCATGTCTGCTTGTCTCTCGAACCCGTAGGGTCTACACACTTAAGGTTCAGTTACGCTAGGGTTGTAGGGATATGTATATGCAGTAACCCGAATGTTGTTCGGAGTCCCGGATGAGATCCCGGACGTCACGAGGAGTTCCGGAATGGTCCGGAGGTAAAGATTTATATATGGGAAGTCTTGTTTTGGGCATCGGGACAAGTTTCGGGGTTATCGGTATTGTACCGGGACCACCGGAAGGGTCCCGGGGGTCCACCGGGTGGGTCCACCTGTCCCGGGGGGCCACATGGGCTGTAAGGGGGTGCGCCTTGGCCTAATGGGCCAAGGGCACCAGCCCCACATAGGCCCATGCGCCTAGGGTTTAGAAGGGGAAGAGTCCTAGGAGGGTAAGGCACCTCCTAGGTGCCTTGGGGGGGAGGAAAACGCCCCCTAGGCCGCCGCACCCCCTAGGAGATTGGATCTCCTAGGGCCGGCCACCCCCCTTGGCACCCCTATATATAGTGGGGGAGAGGAGGGACTTCATACCTGAACGCCTCGGCCTTTGGTTGCCTCCTTCTCCCTCCCCAACACCTCCTCAACCTCCATAGTGCTTAGCGAAGCTCTGCCGGAGTACTGCAGCTCCATCAACACCACACCGTCGTGCTGCTGCTGGTGCCATCTCCCTCAACCTCTCCTCCCTCCCTTGCTGGATCAAGAAGGAGGAGACGTGGCTGTTCCGTACGTGTGTTGAACGCGGAGGTGCCGTCCGTTCGGCGCTGGTCATCGGTGATTTGGATCACGTC